ACACTAACGTAATTATCCGACAAGGAATTTAATTATGTAAGTTAATATACTATCGATCTTAAATATTATAATAGGAAATATTATACTAATAAAACAACTTTAAAAAATAATAGGAAGCTGGTATTTATTGTTTGTTTAAAAACTCAGTAAGTAGCCTTTTTGTTTTATAAGTTTTATAACTTATACTTACTAATATTTACAGCCTAAGAAAGCTCCTAAGGATATACTTATCTCTACTTGCGAAGAACATGGCGGGGGAAGGTATATTTACCCCATGGCGGTGTAAGTTATATCTACCTTTATATATTTAATTGGCTAGAGTAATATACTAATATATATATACTTTAAGTGTGGAAATTGCAAAGAAATTACCGCAACGAGAAACAATAAAAGATTTCTCGAAGATACAGTAAGCTCTTCCTACGAACAAGTAAATTGGTATTTGGCTAAAATTGGAGGATAATAGCCGAATTTGTATTGTAGCTTAGCTAAAGCTAGCTGAAGTGCAAAGTAATTGCAAGTATGTGCGCCGAGTGCGTACTATCTCCTGGTCTAAGGTGCAGTTAGGTCGACGGGAACTATTATATCTCGCTAGGAAATTGCTAGTATTTATTTAGCTTGTATCTCGCACTTGTAAAAGGGAGAGGCAAACCTTGCTTAAATAATATTATCCCTATCTTTCAATATTGCTTAGCTGTCTTTTACCCTATTATTCGAGCTTACTAGTTCCATCGTTTTCCCTTGATATAGCTTCTAGTTTTCAGGCGAGGCTATAAAATAAAATACTTCAAGCACCTGTTAAGTTGCTAAGGCAAGGGATTCAACACTACGGCACTGTAACACGTGGCAACTACTGCGTAACGTCTTTCTGTACAACGGCCAGGTAATGCTCGTCACTGACCGTGATAAGATAAAGGCGATTCGCGGGACAAGTCAGGTAGTAGTGTGTGGCGGCAAATGACCACACGGAATGGGGAGAAAAACTGGGTGGACTAACTGATTATATTATTTTACTAGTATAAAAAAGAGGCCTTATACCTATATTTTTAATTTAATAAGCTTTTTACTTTATAGCTATTTAACTCTACCTTTTAAACTTATTAATTTAAACTATTTAATTAGTCTTTTATATTTGCTATAATTAAGGCTATAATCCCTTTTAATTATTATCTTTAAACTTATAATATTACTTATAATCTTTAGATAAAAAAGGATTACTTTTTACCTTAATATTAAAGGTTTTAATAATACTTTAAGTTTAGTAATTTAAACTATTTAATTATTATAACCTTATTTATATATAATTCCTTTAGAAGGAATATCTTTACGATTAACTAACTTATCCTGAATCGTGACCTTATTGTGAGGTATTACGACTCCTGGATTGGCTTTATTATGTGTGTGGGTTTTGCCCTATCAAAGTAGCAAGGTTACTACCAGACTGAATTAGACGAATAATAATTGCGTATATTACGTGGCTATTACCGGCGGAAAGAAAGCTATAATATAAGTATAAATTACCAGAACTATAAGAAGATTACTTAAAGTTTTTATAAAGGAACAGTAATATAAAGTTCTAGGGCATAAAACAATTAAGTCAATTATAACGCGTATACTATAAGCAGAGATTAAGATAAGGCTAGGTATTAGTTAATACCAGGTAATATCAATTAAGTTTAGGAGAAGAATCTAAGAACTAGGAATTAGGTAAATTAATAGTATAGCCAGGGATAATAAGGACAAGAAGGGAATTAAAATAAACTAAATAACAGGTAAGGAGCTAAACGTCTAAGGTAGCTGGAATATTATCTGGGATTTATAAAGCATATATAACAGGAAGATAGCGCGGCTATACTATACCGTACACGTTAGCGTGCTAAACAGACTAACTCTAGAGGTAATAGAGAACTACCAGGGAATTAGCTAACTCTAGCACTAATTCTTAATAAAAGGGGATAAGTTCTAGGCCGGGTAAATATATAAGGCACTAAGAGATAAAAGTATAAGCATAGTAGTATAAAAGAGAAAAAAGAGTAAGGAGGAGAACGCGCTAAGTAAGGAGGAGAATAAGCAGCATTTAGTCTACAGGCTGCGAATATTAATAGGGCCAGCGTTTTATTAGGTGCAAACGCGCACACAAACACTAATTATTAGGACCTATAATATCCTTTATAAGCTATAATATATAACTCTGTAATTTTTACTATAATACTATAATTAATAATAACTATTATTAATGTTAATGTTAATATTTGGTTAATTCGCTCTGTAGTTAAATAAAATTACACGCATAATACTAGTATTATATAAGCGTAAAATCTAAAACAGTATTAGGCTATACTAGGCTAAGAATAGTAAAAAACTAGAAAAGTAAACTATTTATATATTATAACACGTTAAATATACTAGCGTAATTAGTATCGTGCTATAGCCTATTAGTTATAGCTACCTTATAATAATTTTAGCTACTATTATATAGTTAAACCTATATAGTTAAACCTTGTATATTATCGCGTAAACCTACTAACTTCGCGGCTATAATTTACGCTAAGTCACGCTAAAAACCTAAAATACCTATATACACAGTATATATTTGTAAGGTTTTTCCTGTATTCTAAGTTAATCCTGTATCTAAGTTATTCTTCTGCTATTAAAACCTAACATAACCAATTATAAGTTGCTGCTCTTACATATATATATCTCCCACAAG